ATGTCCTCAATCGGTCTTCTCTGTGTATGCCCAATTCAATCCATCTCCACTTTCTTCTGTATATTTGTTTGGTGATGGGTTCCTGGTTGAGTCGTTAGCAGGCCAGAGTTACCTGTTGCTTATTCTCATTATTCTGACCATCCATATGATCTTCAGTATCGAGTGAGCGTAGGTGGCAGCTGTTGATGTGTGTGTGTGTGTGTGTGTGTGTAGTTTGTTGGAAATGCTTTTCGTAACTCGCCGCCAAGTCTCTCAACCATCACATAGAAGCACTGACTTACTTGACTGAATTAGTGTTGAAAATCTGGATGTTGTTCACGCTTCATGCTGAGTGTAGTATAGTAGTGTAGTGTAGTGTAGTGTAGTGTAGTGTAGTGTAGTGTAGTGTAGTGTAGTGTAGTGTAGTGTAGTGTAGTGTAGTGTAGTGTAGTGAAGTAGATCTCCACACTGGTTTCAGATTGATGATGGCCTGTCTTGACGTCTTTCCGATTCTGGCTTTGACGTCCTCATCTGTGTCTGTGCCACCTGTAGTTGAAACGATGCTGCCCAGCCTGGGTAGGTGGTAGGTGAAAGAGACTACTTCCTTTAGGTTTCTTTCGGTGGTGGTGATTGATGCTTGTTGTTCCTGTCGTTGTTGTCGCTGTTGTTGTTGTTGTTGTTGTTGTTGTCACTGTTGTTGTTGTTGTTGTTGATGGTTGGGTATCTTCATCACCTCCGTCTTCTCTACATTCACCTTAAGGAAGTCCCGTCTTCTCTACCTTGCCTCTTCCGTCAACTTGTTGGTTTCTGCCTGTAGATCTTTGAGTTTATGCAACAAGACATTAGGCATAAATCATCATCATCATCATCATCATCATAGGCGGCGGCGGCGGTGGCGGCGGCGAAATCCAAACCTTCTTCTGGGGTCTTCTCATCCGTCCAGCCAGCGTATGCCAATCTTCTCGCCACTCACAGTTTGTTACATGATCCAGTCCAGTCCATTCCAGTACAGTTGACCACAATCAGGAAGATGATTGGTGATAGAAGGCGGCAATCTTGTCTTACTCCTGTCTTCACTTCAAAGGCGTCACTCAGCTTTCCATTGTGAATCACTTCGCATGTGGCGTCGTCATCCATCATATAGTTGTTGAATGAGATTGATAAATGTTTGTGGCAGTGAGACTGTGGTGTTGAAGGAGCAGCTGCCAAATTACTTCTCGGTCGAGGCTGTCGAAGTTCTCTTCAAAGTCGATGAAGTTGAGGTAAGATAGAGAGTTGACTGGCATTCTATACTGTGTTCTATGATGATGCGTAGCTGAGTGTAGCGCTGCAATTTGGTCCGCACATGATTTGTTGTTCCTGAAGCTGGCCAGCCAGCCAGCCAGCCAACCAGCCTGTTCCGGTCGTAATTTTGAAGCTAGCGCATCCTTTAGTTTCCCCAGGATGATGTGGTTGAATATTTTGCTTGGGTTGGACACCAGCATGATTCCCCGCCAGTTCTTGCGGAGACTTGGGTCGCACTTCTTTTCGAGTTTGTCAAGGTAGCCCTTCTTCCAGTCAGTGAGAAGGTACCCTTCATTCCTTGCAAACCTTCTGCAATAGCGGTGTGAGGACGTCCGATGTTGTCTCTGTGTCTAGTTTCAGTGCTTCTCGAGGAATTCCATTTGGTCGTGCTGCTTTCCCTGATTTCAGCAGGTTTATGGAGATCTGAACTTCACTTCTGCTTTTGTTGGAGGGGTTGTGTTCACTGGTAATTCTGTGGCTGGGCTGCCGGTGGTATTTCTGGACGAGTTGCAGGTGGTGGTGGTAGTGGTCGATTCAAGAGTTTTTTGAAGTGGTCAGGCGATTGTTTCCTTTGTTTCTTCTTCTTTGGTAACTAGGTTGCCTTCACTATCTTTCATTTGTTTCGTTGAGTTGGTTTTTTTCGGGACAGTAGTTCCTAGTGTTACTCATCTTTGAATTGCATAATTTAAGATAAGGAAGTTATAAACGAAGAATCCACTGGTTTTATGAATACTACATGTTATTTCATGGTCAGCTGTTTTTATCGCTAGTAGAGTATTCCTTTTTGCGATTTCGTGAGATGAAAAGTAGTTTTTGACACCGAACGGAGTGCTACAATTTGTATTAGAATGAGTTTCCGAACCAGTGAGAAGTTCTCCACCATTGGAAAACAGTTAATCAACAATTCCCCAACCTTTTCAAGCTCTCCAATTTATAGCAATAGACTATAAATACTAAGTTAGCAATGCAGATTGATTCTCTGTAATTATGCGGAGGGTGTGTCAATTTAATTCAGTGCAACTCTATCATCTTTGCTTGCTGAGTTTACCTACATTGGTGTCATAATTTCCCAGTCACATGTGTGATATTGTACGAAATCAGAAACCTGTGAAGTCTGAACTGTTACGTTGAGGAAGAATATAAAATGTTGGCTTGGAGATTTTGCGTTCGTCATTTTGACTTTCTGAGACAGCCGTTGTTTTTGTAGACATGTATCATTGAAAGAAGCAAAAGACAGGTATGCAGGAAGGAATGGGAATTGTTAACGAATGGTCAAGCAGTCGTTAAATGTGATTCACCTTGCACTAAAACCATCGTTTGCAAAATATGCTTTATTTTCTCTTCTGCTTCTTTCTTGATTTGTACTTAATACGCTTGCCTTGTTTCTTTTGTTTTTCTTGGCGGAATCCTAACCCATTGCTGGTAATTCCCTATGATTTCTGCCACCTCCTCAACATATACTACTCACATCCATTCTTATCAGCAACGCCCACATTTCATTAGTTCTGGGTGATGACTTTAGATTTCAACCCATTCCCTTATTCTTCATAAACATCTCTTAAAAAAACTTATTACAGTTTCTATTGCTCACTCTGAAACACTATCAGACAATCAGTGAATTTGCATGCGTAGGAAATCTACTAGCCAAATGAGCCCATATATGCTCACAAGCTCATCACTTGACGCTTCTCGTTTACTCTATGCCTGACTTCTGTTGGCGGTTCTCATAACAAAGCTAATGCTTCGAAGCCAACAGTGGTTGACCACCTGAAGTCCTCCAATATCTTTCACGCTTAATCTTTGCGTATCACGGACATAAAGTAAAATAGTGAAAACTGCAGCATAGTACACTTGGCTGTCAATAGGCTAAAACATATAATGCCGGCACTATAAACTCCGTAAGTTGGCGAAAGTCAGGCAAGCCTTTTACATATATCTAGAGATTTCAGTGGTTACTGACTCACTAAGGCTGATATGACTTGCCAAATAAGGAAAGCTCAACCAATTCATTCTCTATTTGAAACACTGATTTTCATTCGTAGCAAGCGATGTAAATGTATGGCAAAAAGGCACTTAGGTTCCGCTTTCAGAATCCCGGTTGAAGGAACCGTTAATGGAAAGCTCCTGCTACAACTCCAATCAGACAACCATCTATTTCTGATCAGCATGAAATTCAGACATAAAGAGAGATATTATCTGACGTGGAGCCCATGGAACTCATCATTGAACATGGATAGACCATATTGTTATCGTTTATCGCTGGAAAGTTTTGGTGGAAGATTGACCCTCCTTTTGGAACACGTGCTTGGATACTGGTCAGACGTTGTTTTGAGCAAAGGTGGCTGTGCCTAAACGGACGAAGAAAAACTGTGGCAGCAAGACTATTGCAAGTGAGAAACTGATTAGACAGTTATCGGGACAGGACAACGTCATTCATCCTGAAGAAGCTTGGTGCCGACCCCAATCTGCTGTGGTAATAGTGTTGAAAACCGTAGCTGTCTCTCAAAATTTGGTTACAAAGGATAAATTGATCCGAGCAACTTCTTCTGAATTAATAGATGCGCGTGAATGCATTCTTGTAGGCTGTGAGTACAATGAGGATTGGAAGCAACTTAGATGCAGACCGACGAGAAACTACTGAATGACATGTAGCACTTATGGGTAGTGAAGCTTAAGTGGATGGATACGGCTGCAGTGGCAGGTAATAGTAGACAGTTATTTAGACTTAACAGATGAACCGAATCAAAACGGTCAGTGGTTAGTAAAACCATTTCCACGAAGGATGGGTTCTTGATTTACTTGTAGGAGAGACGTCTAGAGCAGTGGGCGGAGCACTTAGGAAATCAGATAAACTGGCTTTTAACCAGTCTCCGATTCCCCGCTATTCAGTCTGGTTCTGAATAAAACACCGAAGCGAAACCTCCACTATTGTATATGTTTAAAAGACTGTATACGGCTGGAAACGAGAAAAGAAGCAGAGCCTGACGAAGTCACATCAGAGTTATATTAGGACGGTAGTCAACGATCGTGGGTTAGACCAGTTAATGTGTTTGCTAGGTTATTGAGGTCAAACTTAACCCTGTCTGACTCGTCTAGAACACTGATTGTTGCAGTCCTCAAGAAAGGAGAGAAATCCTCATGTGATAACTACAGAGCAATCAGTGACGGACATGATTTCTAAGAGACCATTCTAAGTAATCTTCCGACGCCTGAGTGAAGCTTCGATTTCACTGAACTCCAGAAACCAGACTAGTTTCAGAATGTTTCGACAACATATCTTTCCTTCACCAGTTTCTGAAACGCAGGAACGTTTACCGAAGCCCTAACCTGAATATGGCGTTCTACTCTGTCAATCGCGAGGTTTTATGGGAATGTCTTCCACCGATGAGAGGAGTATCAGCTAAGCCTATCAGCCTTTAAAGGCTATATATTCAAACACCTGGTGTGCTAGTGCCACTGTTGCTATATCAGGTGAGTTATGTATATCATTTGATTCCCGACAAGCATGTGCACTCTCTCCATCCTTCGTAATTTTGTCATGAATGTGTTTACAGATGTCTCAAACGCCTCGTCTTGTTCTGCTAATATTGACCGTGTCTCTGAAAGCTCCTAAGTAGATCAGCAGTACTTGGACAACATAGCTTCGTTAGATGAAAATGCTGGCAAATGCAGAATCGGAACACCGTGATTAGCAGTTTGAAGTGACGATTCACTTATTTGTTCCCTTTTTTGTCTAGAATGGATCATCATCAAGTGACTAAAATCGGAGAAGAAGTGGTAGACATTAGAGGCGAAGAAAGAGATGATGACGAAGATGACGATGAACATAACTATCTGTATGATTCACTTGGATAATATGAACGTTTTATAAATAGAGTAATGGCAATTTAACGGCGACCAGTTTTGCAGATAGTTTCAACGACAATCCGTAAATTTCTAATTTCACTCAAGGTACATAACAGATTGCATAATTTTTTGAACATACGTACTGAAGGTTGTTTAATGTTTCAAGAGAATATCTGAAAATAAATGTGTTAAGCTATGATTTTCTCGTTTACTGCTGCCTACCAAAGAATAATTACAGTTTCATACTCACCACTTCAAGTGCTTTCTTACATACGTAACAATTTTGTTAATATACTTTCTTAACACTGCTTTCATTTTAATGCTGTTGGTAGACATCAAAATCCGAGTCAATATTTTCTTCGGAAAACATCGAACAAATCGTAGGGCCAAACTACAAGTAACTCAAGTCAAATCACGAGGCTATTTTTTAAACATCTGGAAAAGGGGTTGAAATGTCGGGAATAAAAGGTGCGAAATGGAGCAGGAGCAAATGGTGGAACCAATTAAGGTGCGGAGCCAAAACATTTTTCATCATAGGAGGTATACTACTTACAACTTATCAGTAGCTTAAACATTGCGCTGATAAACGCGTGCAGCATAATAGTGAATTAGCTGCAGTAATATATGTCCTTCTTCAAGGTGCATATATATTATGAACTTTTTAAGAATATTATTCTCCATATTTTATTTTCTTCGAAGTGGAAGCGTTTATCATGGCTAAGTAGGCTTCAAATGTGAAGCATTTGAGCCTTTTATATTGATCGTCATTCAATTGAACTGCAGCCTCTAGCATGTTACTGTTTCCAGACAATCATTTTCGTTCCAGTGATGCAGGTCTCTTGACCTTCAAGATCCAGCCAGATTTACAATAGATTCCAGTGCACTAGATTCTAGAAGCGGAGGGTGTAAATGTCTCTAATTCAGTATTATAACTCCTAATTAAATATGTTTGCAAACCGTAAACGGAAGAAAGTGGAGGATGAAATTGTGAAGGATTGATTACATTCAAAACTGGGCACAATTTCAGAAGATACTCTGAAAGCTGTACCCATTGGCTAAGCCCAAAGGTTTGCCAAACACTTTCGAATGTTGAAGATAGGAGTGCATACCGATTGTAGTATGCTTTAACTTATCTCTTCATAACTTTAATTCCAGTGTTCTGGAAGAGAACATATCTGAGTATGCCCTCGATTAAAAGATGGTAAAAACGTTTGTTCTAAGTGATGAACTTAAATATGTAAACTAGGTAGTCCTTCCTACTCAAGGAATAGGTAGATGAAGTCATGAAAATTAATTGTGTTATGGTGCTGTAGGCTTCATCATGAAGCGAACTATATAAAAGAGCAAAGTTCAGAACTAACCTTCTCTTCGAGAATGGATGTAGAGAAAGCTGTTGACATCCGTCGTCGCAGCCCAGCTTAGGTACACTATTAATCAGGTATCTGGTAGAAAGTCACTAGACTTTCTCACTTATAGATTTGTCACATACACTTAAGTCATCTACAATCGAACGATAATGTTCGCGTTAAGGTCAACATCCGTCAACTCGTTAAATGTATAAATTTCATATCCGTAATAGCACTTGAATGTCATTAGAAATGACATTATTTCATATGACCTTGTTCTTCAGACTTTTGAAATAATCTTGAATCACTCCTTCAGAAGTGAATGCATTTACAATGATCCTCTAAGTGTTTCATTTTGACCTAGCAATAATCGTGGACTTCATTCCTCTTCAAACAATTTCTAACACCGTGATTTATTAATCGAGTATTTATGATTGCACAGCTTTATTAACCACTTTAACATTAAAGAAAAGAGATATATTGTCTGCAAATTAAATCATGATTTTAGTCACAGCAACTGTATGTGGATGTTAAACGACGTGCAAAGCAGGATTCGTGGCACACCTATTTACATGTTGGTTAGTCCCTATAGACTTCGCTTACTACCAAACACATACGGAAACGATATCCAACATTAGCAGTACGATTGTAGCAAACTAGTAGTTTTGATCTCCCGTATTTAATTCTTGGGTTTTGGTTCTTTTGAATTTTGAGGCTGAGTTCTGTCCGATTCAGGTCGCACTGTTTTCCTCATAACGGATGTGTCATATGTAACTTAAGTTGCGCACTTTCTACACATGTATTCTGCGGCACAATATCAACATCTTCGAGTTGACTGTATATAATAAAGTTCATCGCCAACGTAGCATGTTCAAATGCGAGTGAACTATCTAGTCACTGGTATAGTTGGGCTGGTGCTGTTCAATGAAGGCGGCTGAAAGTTTATAACATTGTGGCTAACAATAAACAAGACACTTGTCTTATCGTTCTTTCAGACGAATGAAGGTTAATGACAAAATTAAATTAACCTGTAAATTAACTTTTCAAACACCTGGAGAACATGTATGCATGTGAACTGAAGAAAGGAAACAGCTGAACAATATACAATGAAGTTTTAGATATCTTTGAATCACTGTAGACGAATAAAAAAACCGCATAAGTCGTATATCAAATAGTGAAGTTATAAAGATTCTGGCGAAGGTAAAATCAGGTAATCAATCCAGAATACATAAATTTGTTTGATCAAAAGTGTGATTCGCTCAGCAGAATATACGCGTTACAGAAGGGTGTTCTGTCGTAAAACTATGTGCATGGCACAACATACCATCGGCTCCTAAGCTATTGTTTCTTTCTACCACTTTTTATAGGTAAGTTTTCAAATATTTTTGGGAAATATTCTTAGAACGTACTAGTATTTAAGATAACTCAGATACCATAGCAATCATGCTACGCTGTCCAGCAGATAGGTGTGGAACTCCTGTTCCTACCATCAGGCCGGCTAGGCAGCAGTTACCGTCGTCCCTATTTTAAATGAAGTGCAAGACCATGGCGAGTGTTTTTAAGATTCCTCATGGCAATGTAATTGCCCACATCAGATGCCTGACTTCTCTTTCAAAATATCTTTTATACATATCGCTGTCCTCAAATTTCAATGTAAGTTCCCACGGAGTGGACGGCCACTACTTTTAGGTAGTGTGATATACCACGTCTGTAACAGTCAGTGATCTACTTCCTTGATAAATGCGTAGCACCAGATCAAAGCACTTATTCTGGAAGGAGAACGAGATTGTGCTAAAAACGCCAGTTGCTGCTTATTGCATATATATATATATATATATATATATATATATATATATATATATATATAGAGAGAGAGAGAGAGAGAGAGAGAGAGAGAGAGAGAGAGAGTAGACAGTCGCTCAGTGGCACTGTCGAGGTACTTTTGTAGTTTTAATATGGCTTGTTATTGTTTAATAGTGCCACAAATTTCAGCACATTAAATCGTGTTTTGATACTGTTGAAACATAACTTTTGACAGTGTGTGACTCTAAGAAGCTTGGTACACTGAATAGAACAACTCAGTAACCTGTCTGAATCGTGTTAACTTGGCTCCGTTGAATAGTTTCCCTCTTTCAGACCGAAATAATTGTTTTTGGTAATTACTAGGAGCAAAGTCAAGAATTCGCACTTGTTAAGTGCATAAGTATCCCGACCTATGGTCCATTAAATCCCTTGCTCGCTCTTTTTATATTAATATACTCGGTGGAAGGGCTTTTCACTCCGACGTCTTCATTGATATGATTCGTGTGTTGTTAATAAATTTGTTAGCCCGCAGAACTGACTACACTTAATGCATGACGTTATAGGGATTACTCTGAAGGACTGTCAAGTTTATCTAGTGTCTCTGGTCGAAGTTCTTATTTTCCAATCGTTCACTAATTGCTATAAACATTCAGGCAATGAGAGATAAAATTCGCTTGACTGTCATATTATGATTCTTGATATACAGTCTTACTTCTCGTACTAATGCGTTTTATCTAGCCCGGACTATATCAATTTTTTGAGATCACATCAGTTCTGCCAGCGTCAGAAAGTGGATACATTTCTACTAAGATAAACATTTTTATTCGGAAACATGAATATTATTCATATCCACACTACCCTACCCATAAGCCCTCCCACATATTTTTGAAAGTATAAGATGGTATTTATGGCAAAAAGCGATAATTCACTGGTCAATACTAGTTGGCATGGATGGTCACATCTGTAAAACTGTCATGTATTCACATGAAACTTTTAGTATTGTCCCGACACTCACTGTCGGTCATTTTCTGCACCATAACTTTGATCAAATATGATTCTGAAAGGCGGTGTCCTTCAAACTGAACATTGCTTTTGAACAGCTATTAGAGCATCAATGCATCTTGAACACATTGCTTACTCTCTTAGATAAGATTTAGTATCGACTGTCACTCAAGCCCTTTTTACTGATTTATAGCCTTTTGAGAAGACCTGGTTTTGAACGGTCATGAAGGAATTCTAGGTGGAAACAGAACTGCTTTTAGGAGTTGTTCTCGTACGAACTTGATGCACACAGAAGGCAATCATTAGTTATTCGTACTTTTTATATACTGATGAATACGAGACCAAGGAAAGACACAATAAAGTAGCCAAATGGAATAGTATACTTGCGATGCCGTACCGAAATACCGATACGTTCCAACTAGCTGGCTAGAGGGTCGGTCACGAGTAGTGCGACGCAACACGACAGTGCGCCAAAAAGCGAGGATGCTCGGCCGGGTGCCTTCAGCTCAGTTAGTCCCATGAAACCAAAAAAGTCGGCATCATCGAGCCTTAGGTTACTGATTCTAGGGAAGTATGTGACTCTGAATGGCTGCGAAGGCGATAAGTCTGGTGCCGGTATAAATGAATGACAGAGAAACATAAAGACACTGAAGTTACTTCATGAAAACTTATTTTAGAATGGCTAATCAACCTGCGACTGACATGCATGCGGAATCTACTTCTTCCAAAAGTTAAATTAGTGGTTGTTCGTCTGAAATTTTCTCCGTCAGTCATTGATTCACAGGAGACTTATCAGACATTTATACTAGAATTGGACCGTTACAGTGGCCGCTGACCCACTGATAACCATCATTTTGC